ACAAGAGATGGCAGATGGGCAGATGCAGAAATAATAGTTTGAGAAAAAAAGTGATGCAGCTGTCTGGTAATGTCTGACAGGAAGGAAAAACACAGAGAGAGAGAAATTCATGCTATTAACTGTGAGATTTAGCTGTTTACGTCAGTCATGGCCAAGTACATAATAAAGTATTAGTATGATGTTGGACATTGACTTTCCAAAGCACAAGCAGTGGTCAGATTTATACATTATGGTAGAAGCGATGGCGCAGTACTAAAGGTTTGTACTGACAATAATACTGTTTACTAATTCCCTCATTAAAACATTTATGGTAGTGATTTATTAAACTGAGGTAAATAAATAATAAAATGTTATTTTAAAAATTAAGCCTATTTTTTGACACTCATGTTCACCCTGCAGTACTTTAAAGTACCCCTAGGGGTGTGTGTACCCCCCAATTTCAGAAATGCTGGACACTGGACTGTATTAAGGCATTTAAGTGGGGTATTATATAAATAAAAAAGTAGCGTGGATGTCTGATACAACATACAGCAACATCTTTAACTATAATACAATATATTTTTCTCTTAAAATGTGAATCTTGTGTATGAACTGAGGGACGGTGGCGTTGATAAAGTCGTTTATGAGTCAATGAATTGACTGAAATTAAAATAGTTACATAAATGTCCTTTGAACTTCAGTCTGCTGCTTTTCTTTATCTTATGTGATATTAAATCAATCAATCATTTATTAACTGCATATTCAGTCAGCCATAAAATGTATTTGCCTTCACTGGACATAATGATGTTAATTTCTCATTTGTTTATCATTTCTTCATTATATAACAGTTAATTTAATGCTAGTTGGGCTTATTTGTGGTATTTTATAGCAGTATAATATAATATCATGTTATTGTTGTACCATAGAAATATAGTGGCGTGTGTGTGCACAGCATTACACACACACACAGGCAGTGACGGATGCAAATACTTCATGCATCTGCACGCAGTTAACTTGCCAAACTTGTTGCCAAATTAGTGGATTTATTTAAAACTTTAATTCTGATATAACAGCATTTGGCAGCTCACTGTAGTTTGCACAGCAGACAGAAGTGACCATGTGTCAAGATCTCTCTAAGAGACAAAAACGTTGACAGTAAATCGTTTTTTGGTTTCTCAGATCTGTTTTTCAATTATTTTGTCCAACTAGAATTTAAAAAGCCTCAGTCGTGTATCCGCTCAGAATTACCTCCTTATTGGATGGTATGTTCCTCCATGTCATATTCACTTATACCAATGATAACAACCATGATCTTTCTCTTTAACCATAATATAGCTTAGCATAATAGATAGTATTGGACATAAAATACAGATAAATATGATATATTAAATAAATATATTAATGTTTATGTATTAACTGGCTCCCAGGGCAAAGCAAATTGAGTGTCCCTGTTCTAATCGTCCAATATTGAGTCACACCTTAAGTTAGCTATGTTAGCAAAAGCCCTGCTAACTACCTATCTAATCTACATCAATCGGTAGCTAGGCAGATAACTATAGTGTTTTGCTAACATTAGCTATCCTATGTAATTAGATAGCTAAAAAATCATTTAGATTAGCAGCTAGTTAACTGATGTTTTGCTATGTAGCAAACATTTTTGCTAACTCAATAACTAGCCACCTAAAAATATAAACATAAAATGAACTGGTATTTTAATTAAATAATGACACATTTAAGTAATTATTTAATGGGGTATTTATTTTTGGCACTTTTAGTCCTCCATACATAACAATCGAACTAATGATTTATGTAGATTAGCTAGTCCTCATTTCTGTAATTTGAGTCATACACATTCATTATAAGCAGAGTCACAATGTCTCTAGTAGCAGAAAACAGGCTGCAGTCAGAAGAACCTTTTTAGATGTGTTTAACATCACAGTTGGGTAAAAATATTTAAGTCTGCACAGGAAATTCATAACTAAAAGCAAAATAAAAGGACTTTTTCCAAACATCCCCTCTGTGGGAAAACATCAGCCGAGCCAGCCTTCATTAAAAACGTGGATCTTCACTGCTTTCATTTAACCTTTTGGCAACAGTGTTACTGTTCTTGGTCCATAAGAGAAAACACACCCGAATGCATCACAACACCCCTGTAATACAAAATAAAGGAACTCTTCCTGCTCAACATGGTGAAAAAGTTAAAGTTGTATGTCATTTACTGTATTAGATGTCAAAACACGCAGCTAAATGTTACAACATAGATTAACTGCTCGAGCTGTCAATCATGAACACGCTTGCTTACAGTTCACGCACACCTTGTAAAGTTTAAAGAGCAGCAATCAGCTCATAAAAGGTATCTCTCTGTAGTGTTGCACCCTCCTTCCTGCAAGGCTCAGATACTTCACACATTTACTTCTCAGCTGTGACCACTAGTGCAAGAAGGTGATAAAAGTAACAGTGAACCCTTTTAAATGTCAGTAAACTGTTGTCACTACTTTACAGCTGAACACAATGTACAATGTCAATCTTGTTACATTAGCATTGATTTGCAGTCATCTGCCTTCCCACCTTATGAATAGAAACCTATATATTCCCCTTGTTTTGTTGGTTTGTCAGAGGTTTTTAGCTGTGGAATTCTATTTTTGTCAACATTAAATAAATAAATAAATAGAAATCATGAAATAAATGAGGCAATAATTATATAAACATATAAATTAGTCGATATAATTCAGTAAATAAATAGATTTTATCTACATTTTCTTTTCAAAAGGACTACTTTTATGTATTTCAGAGAACTTTTATTTGATAATGCCACATATATTTTTCCACCAGTTTTTGTTTACATCAGGTATATGCAAATTAAAGAGTGCGTGGCTATCTCACAGAGCAGCAAGACCAACAAACAGCAGTTTGACGTCAGGCACCGCTGGCTTCCTGATCTAGATAGCTAACCGCAAATAGTAGCTGCTGCTAGCTGTTTAGTTCAACTAATCATGCTGCTGAGCCATTAACAGTATATATAATGGACAGAGCTTCCGGGTCTGAAGAGTGAAGCCAATGTGGAAGTGTCCTAAAACCTGCATTTTATGTAAATTCCAGCAGGGGGAGCTCCACTGGCTGCAATAACACAGCGATCCCATTCACTTTAATGGAGAAATGAGCCGACTTGTCACTTCATTTATAAGCTCAGTAAACAGTTTCCTGATAATGGTCTCAGAAGCTAGTTTAACATCTTCTTCCATACAGCCTGATGTTCATTTATATATAATTTATAATTATGGTCCAATTTAGAGTAAAATAGACAATAAAGCAGGGTTGCTTTTGATTGACAGGTCACTCTCAGTGAGTTCGTCCAGCTCAACGCACAAACCTCAGATCAAATTGTCAAACTAGGTAGTGTACGAAGCTAGATTCTCTTACTGCGTTTACTGTTTTTTTACTGGAGGCTTCAAAACGGTTCTCCACAAACCAATGGGTGACGTCATGATAGGTTCACACTTGTGTACAACACTCCCCTCGTCCTCTGAGCTCGGCAGCTACAAATAGCATCAGTTTGTGGTTACTTTAGCAACAGGTGAAGCTAGCTGTCCATCAGGAAACCAAAATGTTAAAGCCGCAGGGCCGCAAAACCAAAACAATAAGCTGAAAGAGGCTAAAACGTTTCGTAAAGCTGAAGGGAACTCCAGAGCTGGGTGAAGAATTCACTAGAACCAACATACATTACGCACAGTTATGTCATCAAGTATTGATTAATGCAGCTTTAAAGTGACTTTGACTGATTCTGTATTGCTCGTATTGAGTTTCCTTCAAATAAATAATGAGCTGCTGTGCCATTAATAATGTTAATCCGCACTAAGTCAGTGCACATTACAGTGAGGTTTAACAGCGCAGTGGTCAGTATGAGTCGTTTATCTTCCTAAAAATGGTTTGTGCTGTATTGTGTCATTACAATACAGTATCATGTACAGTTATATCATTAGTTTGGAGAACCTGGTAAGAAGAGAGCTCCTCTAAATCTTCTATTAAAGTTTAATATAAAGATGTTTCCCATTAAAATTACTGCATCAAATCAACTTCTTCTTCAGAGTTATATTTAGATTATGTCCATTCACTGTAGTTTCACATTACCTTTCCATACTTGAGGCATAAACATACGAACAAGGGGAGGAAAAAAAAAATTACAAGCTTTCAGGAAATTTACTCCACGTTTCCACGCAACCACAAAACAATCAGCACTTCTTTTGTGGTCGTAAACAGGAATAATCCTAATTTTCCTGCACTCAGAATCCATTACTACACCGTGCTGCTCCCTCACTCCTCCACCTTTGCTTGTGGCTATGTTTCTTTTTCCCTTCCTTCCACAACTTTGGAGGACAGATAGGCGCTGAGCCGAGGAACAACTGATTGGATTTTTTGGGGTTTTTTTGTGGGACCACAGCTATGAAAGAAACAGAAGCAGAGCCTTGATTGCAAATCCAAAAGTGTGTGTGGTTGGGGAAGGGGGGTGTTCATTCTGCAGACCAGAAGTTTGATTTGCCTTTTCAATAATGTGTTTGGGTGTAACAGCAGAGTTGGAGAATTATTCATGGAAATAATTTATGATTACTGGGAAGTCCAGCTCCAGAGTTTAATGACAGTGCAATAAAAAAACATGGATGGATCAAAGAACGACAAACTGCATGTGACTGATAACCAATGCTGAATCAGAGCCCTTTACTTTAAATCACAAAGATTCTGCTGCTTTTTAATCTTCAATTTGATGTTTTATGCCTTTCAATTAACTTTTTTTGTTTAATGAGTCGATCTTAAAAAGGTGAAATCAACAGTTTTCACTACAGTTACACTTTTCCTTCACAGAAATGAACCAGTTTTAGCAAGAAACAGACGAGCTTCTTCTTTCATTTCACAGCCTGTCAGCAAATTACACATAACATAAGAGAAATGGTTGCACAGCAACAAGAAACACACACCAACACACACACACACACACACACACACGCACAGGCCCATGTGTTACCCACCACATAGTAGAAATGCATGTCTGGTCGCAGAGGTCGATCTTCTACGTGCACAGCTGGAGGTGGAGGAGACGATGTGGATGTGAACAGCGTCGGTCCATCCAGCAGGAGCATCAGTCAGGAGTGTGTGGGTAAGTGTGTGTGTAAGTGTGTGTGTGTTTGTGTGTGTGTGGCTGTTCCTCGTCCTTCACAGGTAATCCAAATAATCAGGATCTTTAAAAAAAAAAAGAAAAAACCCTCAATAAAAGCTTCTCCTTCTTCTCCTTCTGCTGCTCTTTCCTATTTCCTGTTACTGCTTCCCTCTACTCCCTCTTCTCTCCTGCACTTGCTCTTACTCCTCCCCCCCACCCTCTTGCTCTCTCCTCCCCTCTTCCTCCTCCCCACATGACTTCAGTCCCGCATCCCACCCTTTTTTTCTGTTTTGGTTCCACTTCCTCTCTTTTTTCCCCTTCCAGTGCAATTTAATCTCCCCTGTTTCTGTTTTTTCTCCACTCCTTGGCTTTATAAAGCGGATTTCCTCTCTCTCTCTTCTTCTTCTTGTTCTTCTTTAGTGTCTCTTTCGTTTTTTTCTCCTCTTTGTTTTCTAAATATCTTAATTTGAGAAACATATTTTTATTAGAGAAGTGCTTCAGCGGCGGGAGAAGTTAATTTCACACTCGCACTCTTTCTGTCTCTCTGTGTTGATTGCAGATTGCTGTCAGCACTTCCTGTTCTAGCTGCGGCCACCACTGTGTGTGTGTGAGAGTGTGTGTGAGTGTGTGAGAGTGTGTGTGTGAGAGTGTGTGTGAGTGTGTGAGAGTGTGTGTGTGTGTGTGTGAGTGTGTCTGTG